AGAGAGAGAGAGAGAGAGAGAGAGAAGTACAGGTGAGAGAATGGTTGCAGAACATGCTCATCCCCTTCACCTTGCTCCCTCCCCCTTTCATTTCCCAAAAAGAACTGGGCCAGCTCCACCCAATAGGCCCCCAGTACCTGGCACATTGTCACGGAAAATGGTGATAATGAGGTCTTTGGGGGCATCTGTAAGAACATGTGAGCTGACTTTAGGGGGAGTGTTCTACTCCTCACAACAAGAACTCCCTCAGGGAAAAGAAAGTGTGGCCACGATGGAGAGAGCAAGTGACCACGTAGCATGGCACCCACCACCCAGGATGCTGTGCCTTCCTCTCTGCCAACCCTCCCCAAAGTGCCATGGCACACTCACAAGCCACACTCAGTCGGACAGTCCTCTTCATGCTCAAATCCTTTCTGGAGAAGTCCACTTGACAGGTGAGCTCCGTGTCATGGTCCTGAGGACCTGGCGTGAGGCTAAGCACTGAGTAGTAGGAGGTTTGTGGTGTGGTTTCTTGGGAGGAGAGTGCAGCCCCCGACCAGGAGATAGAAGGGACTGGGCATTGCTTGAAGGTCCAGGTAAACACACAGAAGATTGTCACCTTCTGCCCGGACTCCAGGGTCTTGGGAATGAAGACATCTGGCTTCTGAGTCAAGGCTTGGGGAGAGGGACCCAATCCTCGTACTCCAGCAGCTGTTCACGAAAGCCCACCCTGCTCAGCCCCTGGGGTTCCTCCCCAGCCTGAGGGGTAAATGTTCCTACCACATCCCATACCTGTCACTTTCAGCCAGAACTTGTCCTTGAAATTATACTTCATGATGGTTCCCTTCTCCACACGGAAGAAATATCTTGCCTCATCCTCTCTCTGTGCAGCTCTGATCAGCAAGGAGCAGTTCTTCTTGTGGAGGTCTCCCACAAGCTGGAATCGCTCCTGGGTTCTGCTTTGTAGGGGTCGAGCTGGGTTATTGGTGGCCACTGGAATCCCAGTGTTCGTGTTGGTCCCATCTTCAAACCAGTAGCCATAAACTGGGAAAGAGTCCCCATCTAGGATGCTTGGGTAGGAGAAGGAACAGGGCACAAGAACACACAGGCCCTCCTGCACCGTCACCAACTTCTGCACCTGCAGCTGGAAGAACGCCTGGGACCCTGTGGAGAGACAGAGGCTCAACCTACAACATAGCCCTAACCCCAACCTCGGTCCCCACTGGCAAGGGACCACTCACCACTCAACAGCAAAGACAGCAGTAGTGACAGCAGCAGCATCTCAGCCTTAGGAGGTGTTTGGACCTGCTAAGTTGTGTTCACCACCTCATTGCTCAGTGACTGACCATGGCTGGGAGAGGAGAGGAAGTGAAGGCGGAAGCTGAGCCCTGGGGACTGATGCATGTCGTGAATTGTGATTCTGAGGCAATGGGGACTTTCTTTCCTATTCTCTCCTCTCCCCACTCACCTTGCATATTTGTCCATTCTATCTTTGGGGATACATAGGGTGTCTGCCTGATCTTTGGTCATGTGGTACTGGTCCTTCCCCAGACACCTCTGGGGGTGGGCAGGGGAGCAGACAAGCCTGTGTCTGGCCTTGGGTCCTGGCTGTGGGTGGGTGAGGGGAGGTAGGGGTTCTCCCTTTGGGCTCTGGGGTATTGAGGAAGCAGAAGTGAAAGCTCACAGTGAGTGTCTCTTGTAGGGGGTCCCGGTGGTGGGGGTGGGTGCAGGGAGGAAAACTGTCTGGAGGGGGCTGGTTTTGCCAGATAAAATGCAGAATGTCTGCCTGGTTACCTTGACTTTCAGTCTTAAAAATAATGAATATGTCTATCTTCTCAGTGCAAGAATATCTCAAATATTGGATGGAGAATGACTTATGCTAACAAATTATTTTTGGTTTATCTTAAATTCAAATTTGACTGGATTTCTCTCCCCCCCCCTTTTTTTTCCTAAGTCAAGCAACTGTAGGCTAGTCCTAGTGTCACCCCTTCATCTTCCCTGATAAGCCACTGGCCCTTGGTTCCCCAGAAACAGCTTTTGGCCCTGGCCAGGCCTCTGACTACATCCCCATTGCCCCTTTCTCTTTGCTCAGACAACTGGTGATCTCATGTGTAGTGATTGGAACACCCATGCCTCCAGCTGGTACCGGCACTGGAAGTCACAGGCAGCATAAAGGGGACAGGGTGGGGGATGTCCAGCAAGTGGAATTAACTCCTCATCTCTCACCTAAAAAGATTTTGCAGGTCATGTAGAGCCACAATGCTCATCCACTCAACCTCCGCCCACCTGTTGGGGGTGGGGGAGAGGAGGAGGGAGAGGCAGATCCCACAGATGTCTGACCTCAAAGGCACCTGGTTTGATAAATGAAGATTCTTAGGAACAGAAAAGCACTGAGGTGCTTACAAATGCCCCAATGGTAGTGGGAGCAGGCATCTGGTTTTTTTTCGTTGGGAATGGAGTAGTTTTTTTCACTACATTTAAATGTATGGTTTGTTTGTGAATTGCTGTTTTTGTTATTGTTGTCTGCTTTCTCTCCTCTGAGTGGTAGTGGGGATTATAACCCAATACCCCCTAAAAAGCCCCTGTGAAAAATGGAATGGCAACAGGCACTGGTGGCTCACTCCTGTAATCCTAGTACTCAGGAGGCAGAGATCAAGAGGACCGCAGTTGTTTGAAAGACCCTATCTTGAAAAAACTTATCACAAAAAAGGGCTGGTGGAGTGGTTCCAGTTGTAGGCCCTGAGTTCAAACCCCAGTACCACAAAGCAACATAGAAACACAGGGCAAAAAAGCCAGACAACATGACTCTCCCAAAGCTTATAACTCCTCAATATCTAAATCCAAAATTACTGAAATGGTTGAAATGCTGGGCAAAGAGTTCAAAAATATAGTTTTAGAAATGATCAATGACCTCAAAGAGGATTAAAAAAAACAGAGGAGCTTCGTGCTGGTGGCTCATGCCTTTAATTTAACTACTTGGGAGTCTGAGATCAGAAGGATCTCTGTTTAAGGCCAGCCTGGGAAGAAAGTTCATGAGACCCCATATTAACCAGTAGCTGGGTACAGTGGTCTGTGCCTGTCAACCCAGCTACATGGAAGGATGAGATCAGAAGATCACAGTTCCAGGCCATCCTGGGTAAAGAAGTTTGTGAGACACCATTCCAACAGAAAAAGCTGGGTGTAGTGGCACATGTCTGTCATCCCAGCAACAATTGAAAGCATAAAATAGAGGATTCATGGTCCATGCTGGCCTGGGAAAAGACCGTGATCCTGTCTCCAAAATAACCACAGTCAAAAGGGGCCGGAGGTGTGACTCAAGCAGTAGAGGGCCTGCCTAGCAGGGGTGAAGCTCTGAGTTCAAGCCCTGGTACACAATCAAATCAAGCCAAACCACCCAACCAAACAAACCCTAAATGAATGCAGTAAGAAACCAATTCAAGTCCTCAACAAGGAAATTAACAACATGGGTGAGAAATTCAGTAAGAGAATTGAGATCCTGAAATTAACAAACAAGCAGAAATGTTAGAAATGTAAAACTCAAATAAGAAACACAGTGGAAAAGCTCCCCAGCAAACTTAGGTTAAACGGGAGACAGAACAGAGGGGCTGAAGACAAGATCAAGGAAATATTCCATTCAGGAACTCCAGATCCACCCACCTCAACTTCTTGAGCACTAGGATTACAGGTGTGTGCCACCATACCTGGCCATGCTACCCATTTCATACAAGGGACTTGAGCATCCAAAGGTGGTCCTGGGACCAATCATCCATGGATGCTGAGGGATGGGTATACCACAGACCTAGTGGCTGAACAACAGAAATTTATTTCCTCACAGTTCAGGGGGCTGGATGTCTGAGAACAAAGTGTTGTAGGGTTGATTTCTTCTGAGGGCTCCTTGGTCTGCAGGTGGCAGTCACATGATGTCCTCACATGGTGTGTGTGCTTCTGTGTCCAAATCTCCTCGTCTAATAAGGACAGCAGCCATATTGGATTTGGGTCAATGCTAATGACCTCATGTTAATGGAATTATCTCATTAAAACCCTATCTCTAAATAGTCACATTCTGAGGCACTGGGAGTCAAGATGTCAGTATGGGAGATGTGAAGTACAATTCAGCCCAGTAATATCCACCCCTTCCTTTGCTCTGACTCCCAGGTCTCCATAGCCCAACCTAGAGCTTCTCTGGGTTTCCCAAGGGAGTCGTTGTGTTTCTCTACTGAGCTCACAGAAAAAAGACATTTCACAGGAAGAAGAGAGAGGGAGAGAAAGATACCTGGGTCATGGTGGCGGCTTATCTTAAATGAGGTCCTCCTGGAGAATGGACCCAGCCCCTCCTCTGCTGTGACCAAATCCACAACCCAATAGAAATATTTGGAAAGGAATCAGTACAGTGGCAATGGCTGTCCTTCTGTGAATTTTTCTACAACATTACTCCATGCTGCCCCATGAACCAGAGATGGGAGAGAAGACCCTCTGTCACCTTGAGGTCAGAAGAGGCTGGCTCCAACTCCTGGGGCCCTCTGGGTTGATCCTGCCTGAGAGTATGGACCATCCTCAGGTTAGATCTCACTTTGAAGCTCAAATCTGATCCCTGTCAACCTACAAAACAGAGAGAGAGTCTCCAAAAATTAATACGATTATTTGGGCACAGAATCCCAAGAGCATGCGTGTATATGACATAATAAACTGTATTCATATTCAGAAAGCTCAAGAAAGAGATCCCCAAAGTGTTGAAACCCATGGGCAGTTTCCATTCTCACTTCACGTGGATGCTTCCTTCTCCGGGGTCTGAGAACGCTCAGTCACCCATCGTGCTTTGAGTGCTTCACATGACTTCTGGGTCACCTAGAGCTGCATCTCGCACAAGTCTAGGGGTCCTACAGTGTTTATGTACAGGGGACACCTAACTGCCATGGTGTACTCCTATCTTTCTAGATGATCACTTTATCACTTGACCAACACTGCCAGCCCTTACTGCTATCTTTCTAGATATGCTTCCTCATCTCTCTTAATGGTTCCTTCTCTGTTCCTGGCTTCTAAATATTGGAACACTTTGGGATCCCTCTCCCCACATATCCTGTGTCATCCATGGCTCTGAACATATACGCTAACCATGTTGGTTCTTGGATTTTTATGTTGTAGTGTTCTGCGTCAGATGCTTACGTTGAGAAGGCTGGGGGGAACAGTTCATGGGTCCTCTTTCTGTGTTTCCTCACAGGATATTATGAATTTGTAGTGGCTTGCAAATAAAAAGTTAAAAACAAACCAAAATAAGTCTCACAATACACATAAAGACAAAGAAACGTGGTGATGACTCATGAAATTTTATCTCAGCCATGACCACATGGATTCAGAATGCGTAATGGGTGTGGAGTACTTAACTTGCTCACATAGCTCCACTCATTTCCCACCTTGAACCTTCTTTTCTGATGCCTGAGTGTCCGCCATTATGAAGGGTCAACATCTGCCCACAGACTAGCATCATTCTCATTTTCCCATCTTATGGCAAGCCCCCATTTAGCCGTCTATGTGCCAGACTGCATCAAAACCAGCCCTCCTTTATAGTTGAACAGTTTTTGCTGAGACCCATCAGAATCCCTGATAAGGGCAAGGTTGGGGTATGTATAAACATAGAACTTGCACAGTCTAGTTTTGTCTAGGTTATTTAAGCCTGTAGTTACCTCTGATATTTTGACACTAGGTGGTGAACTAAGTCCAGGGTTCTGCTGTAGACTTTATCTATCTATCTATCTACCTATCAATTATCTATCTATCTATCTATCTATCTATCTACTATCTACCTATCTATCAATTTTCTATCTATCTATCTATTAGATTGGTAGGCAGGGTTGTGGCACTTCCTTCACTTGGACACCTTTGGGTAAAATACAGCCTTCAGCAGTCACCCATCACTCTGTAGGTTATTTCTATTAAGCATATTTTACTCATTGAACTGGACTTGCGTGGGTCACTTTGGGGGCTGTTGCTGTCTCAGTTTGGAGGCCACAATTCTCTCACACCTCCCATGGGGAAAGTCACAGGACATGAACCTTTGGATTGTCTCCACTTCTTGGCTCATGTGAACACAGCTGTTATAGAGAGTCAAGAAGAAATTTTTGTTCAAACACCTGTTTTCAATTTGTCAAGGTATATTCCAGGGAGTGGAAACACTGGGCAATAGGACAAGTCTGTGTTCAACTTACTGGAAGGCCACCAAATGATTTTTCCATAGCTGTCGGACACTTTTATACTCCCACCAGCATTGTATGAGGTCTAGTCTTTCCCTGTCCTCACCAGCACTTGTTTTTTCATTTGGTGATTTTAGCCCTCCTATAATTATAATT